TCCGGACCAACTCTGGCCATTGTAGCCATTTGGAGAAGGAACCAGCACATGGCAGACATCTCTCTCTCTCCTCTTTCTCTTCCTCCCACCCTCCTTCCTGCTCTCTCTCTCTCACCAACTCTGCCTTTCAAAAAAGTTAAATAATCTTAAAAAAAAAAAAGAAATATACACTACAGAAACATGCATGTACTCCAAAAAGCATATACTATAAGGATGCCCACTATAGTATTCTTTATAGTAGTCAACAGTCTAAAAAGTCCATCAAGAGGAATGCTTGGATATGAAACAGAGATTGAATTGACAAATTAGAAGTTCAGGGGTTGTTCTGGTAGCTGTAAAGTAGGGAAACACTAGCCTCTGAATCAATTCAATAATAATGTGTTGGGTATCTTCTCCATGTCAGGCCTTGTGCTGGGTCAGTGACACCAACACCGAACAAAGCAGAATTGTCCCTTAACAAGAAGAAAAAACAAAATCAAACTCCATATTCTCCAATCTAGGTAAGTTCTTATAAGATTGCCTTCCCTAACACCCATGATTTTTAATCTGTACTTTCAATTAAGAATCATATAAAAACATTACCACCAGGATATGGCACCGTGGCTCACTTGGTTAACCCTCCACCTGTGGCGCTGGCATCCCACATGGGCACCAGGTTCTAGTCCTGGTTGCTCTTCTTCCAGTCCAGTTCTCTGCTGTGGCCTGGGAATGCAGTGGAGGATGGCCCAAGTGCTTGGGCCCCTGCACCAGCACGGAGACCAGGAGGAAGCACCTGGCTCCTGGCTTCAGATCAGTGCAGTGCCGGCCATAGAGGCCATTTGGGGAGTGAACCAACAGAAGGAAGACCTTTCTCTCTGTCTCTCTCTCTCTCTCTCACTGTCTATGACTCTACCTGTCAAATAAAAAAATATTACCACCAAAACACTGGGGCATACTTGTGTGAAAAAGAAATAAAGCTATTTTGAGTCTTTCTTTGACTCCATAACAACATAGTTTTGAAAACTCTGTGTTTTATCTTACTGGTTATTTCTCCTGAGTTTTCTGTCAAATAGCTGTAATTTCTTTTTCTGGTAGGTTCCCAAAAGAAAAATCAATAAACACTTGTACCCTCTATAATTTGTGCAATAAACTTCACTAAAAGGAATCCATTTTCTCCAGAATTACTGGGACACCTTGCACATGTTAATGTAAAAATGAGATTTAATGCTATAACGAGTACTCAAACAATATATTTCACTTTGTGTTTCTATGGGGGTGCAAACTGTTGAAATCTTTACTTAATGCATACTAAACTGATCCTCTGTAAAAAAAAAAAAAAAAAAATATCAACTCCCAACTTGACTCTCACTGGGATTAAACATGACAATAGGTCTGATCTGATTTCATCATCATTTAAAAAAAATCATCTATTATTTTTCACTTTATGTTTCTGTGTGGGAGCAAACTGTTGAAATCCTTACTTAATGTATACTAAGCTGATCTTCTGTATATTAAGATAATCAAAAATGAATCTTGATGTGAATGGAAGGGGAGAGGGAGTGGAAAAGGGGAGGGTTGTGGGTGGGAGGGACGGTATGGGGGGGAAGCCATTGTAATCCATAAATCGTACTTTGGAAATTTATATTCATTAAATAAAAGTTAAAAAAAAAAGAGTATAAAATTTAGCCAGATACAAAATTAGGATGAGTAATAACGACTCAGTTCTGTATTCCTAGTATTCATGTAAAGTAGTTGCAGATAAATTTCTACAACTTAGTTATGAATAAGAAAGATGAGGACATTTATAGAAACAAGAATTGTGAAACAGTTTTCCACATATATCTCAAGGTTCTTGCATAGTTTTTCATCTTTTAAGTACAAATAACATACCATAAAATTAGACTAATTAGTATAGTAATTGGCTTAGGGCTCAAATAAATAAAATAAAGAGCCTGAAATAAATTTAAAATTTTAATTCCTCTTACAATTAACACTTTTTATTGCCATTTTAGTGCTGAGTAAGAATTAACTTCATTCTTTTTGTGGGCTTCAGACATACATACTATATTCTCATAGCCTGGCAACAAGTAAGGCTATGGCAGAATGTATAGAATGTATCACATTTATTTAGTTCCTATATCAGTTTCTAGAACCCTGAACAAGGCTCATTTAAATCTAAAACAAGAGTTTTAAGAACTCATTATCAATTTCCACTAGTCTGACTTTCTGGGATCATGTCCTGATGTCATTATTTTCTGGCTACCTTTCGTCATTTGCCATCATTCAAATATCAGCCTAGCATCTTACCTTATTATCCAGAAAGCACATCTGGCATGGAAAGGGTGCCCTTTGCTCAACTTGCTTCCTGTGGGGTTGAAAAGGTGAAGCGACTGCTCTGAAAGCATGAACATGTTAGCCTCTCAAGTCATGCTAGTGTAGTTATGAAAACAAGTGAATCATTTCACCAACTTGGTGATGTTCTAAAATTCCTTAATTGGGGTGGGCAGTTGGAACAGTGGTTAAGTCACTGTCTGGAAAACCTGCATCCCACATCAGGATGTCTGGCCCGAGTCCACCTACTCCTCCTTTGATCCAGCTTCCTGCTAATGCACATCCCAGAAGCAGTAGATGATGGCTCAAGTACTTGGGTCCCTGCCACTCACATAGGAGACCCAGATAGATTTCTGGCCTCCTGGCTTCAGCCCAGCCAAGTCCTGGAGTGAATCAGCAGATGGAAGATCTCTCTCAGTCTTTTTCTCTCTCAAATAACATGAAAACACATGTTTACTAAATGTTATGTGCCTCTTTGGCATTTAATATAATGACTTTTTAAAAATCTATAGTTGGAATGTCTATGAATGCAGAAGGAAAAAGGTCAAATGAGGATTTGTACTCATTCCCTATGTGCATGGGCTGTAGAAAATCCCAGTGCTCCATAATGCAGTTTGTCTGAGGGCACACAGTGCCAAGGGTGGGGAAAGTACCTTAGACATCCCCTGTCTGACATCTAGTGACCACTTCTAGGATATCTGCTGAGCAATTGCTTCCTCCATGTGGCACCTCTGGCAATCACGGATGGCATGCTACTGCTCAATACGTTCAGTGATTTTTTTTTCTTTTTTTTTCAGCACCCAGAAGGAAAAAGCCAGTTGATGAATTAGCTTCTGAGGTTCGAGAGATATTTGGATAAAACTAGGACATGTATGGAATTAAATATATCTATAAACAGATCAATCATTTTCCATCTATAAAACAAAAAAATATTTAAAAAGAGAAGCTGCTCTAGCTCAGGAAAGAAAAACAAGTTCTGAATTATTTGAAACGTGAACCTATGATTCAGTCTTGGCAGTATGATACACTCTAACGATTAACAAAAACACACAAAAAAGCTATTTTCATTTTCTTTATTTTTATTATTTACCTACTTTTGCTAAAGCACTTAAATATAATGTTGTGTAAGTCTTGAAAAATAACAAATCACCATAAAACCAGGTGAAATGATAAGCCTGTACCCTGAGACAATAATAGATTTTCTTTTTCCTTCTTTTTTTTTTTTTTTTTTTTTTTTTGACAGGCAGGCAGAGTGGCCAGTGAGAGAGTGAGAGAGACAGAAAGGTCTTTCTTCCATTGGTTCACTCCCCAAATGGCTGCTACTGCCGGCGTGCTGCGCTGATCCGAAGCCAGGAGCCAGGTGCTTCCTCCTGGTCTCCCATGTGGGTGCAGGGCCCAAGCACTTGGGCCATCTTCCACTGCCTTCCCGGGCCACAGCAGAGAGCTGGACTGGAAGAGGGGCAACCGGGACAGAATCCGGCGCCCCGACCAGGACTAGAACCTGGTGTGCCGGCACTGCAGGCGGAGGATTAGCCTATTGAGCCACGGCGCCGGCCAACAATAATAGATTTTCAATCTCTGCTTTGTTGCTCTTTTAAAGCAAGTAGGCCCTCTTGGTTAAAGACTGTTTGGGGAAGAACACAGTCGATGGTCACTTTGCACCCTCATTCAGTGTTCCCTCCCGAAGCAGATGGCATCTCGGGGGTGCTGAATCTACCAGAATAGGTGCCTGTGAGCAAGAGGAAGCACCGTATGCCATACGTGGGCATGTAGGCCTAACTGGGCTACACTCTGCTGTTGCCTCCAATCCTACTCACTGTTCCAGCTCTCTGGCGTCTGTCCCACACCACTGCAACAAACCCGCTCTTCCCTCCAGCTCTTCAGAGTCCCAGTCCTGGCTCACCTTGTTGCAGCGTTCCACAGCTGGCCCTTCTACCGCCAGCTCCAGTGAAACGCACACAGGACCTTTGGTTCATTCCATCGCTTCCAACACCCTGAACTCCCCCAGTCTTCCCACATCTGCCCCTTCTCAAGCCCCTTTATGCTCCTCTTCCCCTCCTCAGTACTTAAAGGTAGAGGTATAGCCAAGAGCTCTCTCTGAAGCCTCATCCCTTCCCACGTCGCATGCTCTCCTTTGACTTCATGCATGTGGCAACCATCAGGAATGTCTCCTGGCAGGCTCGCAAGGTCCACACAGGGGCAGTGTTGTGGTTCAGTACATAAAGCCACTGCCTGCGAAGCCTGACCCAGCCTTGGCCCTTGTGGCCATCAAGGGAGTGAACCAGCAGATGGAAGATCTCTCTCTCTCTCTCTCTCTCTCTCTCTGTGTGTGTGTGTGTGTGTGTGTGTGTGTCTTTCAAATAAATGGATAATTTTTATTTAAAAAATAAATAAAAAAGCTCCATGCAATGCAGTGGTTCTCACTTCACCCATCTGGCCACCACTCACAAAAGGGACTATCTTATCTGATCTCCACCCAGCCTCCTTTCTGAGGGTCAGATCAGCAATTAAGATCACCAACTTTCTCTGTCCTTAAAAATATTAGTTAATATCAGCATCAATTTACTTCAAAATTGAATTTATTGTTCCTGTAACACCCATCTGTCTCTCCAAACACGGCAACACTCACCCAGCCTGGAGTCAGAAGCAAGAGTATCCTAAGTCTTGTCTACCTGGAGACTCTCTCTTACCTTAAAGACTCCTCCATCATCCTCTCTCTTGGGAAGCTTCTCAACGCTGCATGCCACAGGTACTCCCTGCTCTCTACACCCACCACGCCTCACTTCTCACCAGGATGCCTCCAGGGCAGGGCTTATGGCGTGTGTGTGTGTGTGTGTGTGTGTATGTGCAGCACCATACACAGACATTCCTATCCTGCCAGCACCTAACATAGTGCCTGGCACCTAGAAAAGCTCTCACAAAATATATGTTAAGTAAAACAGTAGCAAGATCTCTTCTAGACACTTCTAATTTCCAAAGTCAATTTGCCTATAGTCCTTTCATGATCGGCACGCCCAAGACAGGCCACCATCCTCCTGCCCATAAACCTGCTCCTCCTGTTTGTTCCCTCACAGCACCACCACCTTCCCTGCCAGCCTAAGCTCCTTTGCCTCCACCCTCTCTCCTACTTCCTCACATCCCATTCCTGCTCCCTGTGCCTCTTCCCCCGTCTCCTTTCTTGCTTCCCTGCCAATGATCTTGATGTTTTCTCACACCATCTCCCACTCCCACTGTCCATGCTTTTTCAAAAAAGCATTTTTAAAAACTAGATCAGGGGCCGGTGCTGTGGCATAGCAGGTAAAGCCACTTCCTGCAGTGCCAGCATCCCGTATGGGTGCTGGTTCCTGTCCCAGCTGCTCCACTTTCAATCCAGCTCTCTGCTATGGCCTGGGATAGCAGTAGAAGATGGCCCAAGTCCCTGGGCCCCTGTACCCACGTGGAAGACCAGGAAGAAGCTCCTGGCTCCTGGCTTCGGATGGGCCCAGCTCTGACCATTATGGCCATTTGGGGAGTGAACCAACAGATGGAAGACATATCTCTCTTTCTTTCTCTCTCTCTCTCTCTTTCTCTACTTCTCTGTAACTCTTTCAAGTAAAATAAATAAATATTAAAAAAAAAACTAGATGCAATTACAGTCATTGCCTTGTTTTAAAGCATCGATGGCTCCCTTCTACATTTGCGTTTTTATCCTAGTCAAATGTGGTGACGTCGCCTAACACGTTTCTGCGAAATCCACCCCACCCCAACTCCAGGGTCACTTTGTCACCAAGGACATTCTCATGGGTTTACATTTCTTTTCCCAGAGCCATTGCTACTAGCTCTTGTTTTCCCCTGAGCCGTCACCAGCCAGGTGATAGCTAAGTGGGTCCTTCTTCTCCCTACAAGAGACTGATAAGACAAAGCAACCCTCTAGCTCACAAGGCCAACTGCTCGAGCCAGGCATTCCAAGTAAGCCACGTCATTATTTCTCCCTATGTTCTCCAGCCAAATTACTCATTGTTCAGTGCATAGGCCCTGTACTGCGCAGTACATGTCTGCACTTGAACAGTGACCTTGACTTGCAATGCTTTCCCCCACTCCGTATGCCAGCTAGACTTGAAACATCCTTCTAGATTCACCCACATGCCACCTCTTCCAGAAAGGGTTCTCCCCAAATCCCACTGCTCAAATCCACTTTTCTTTTCCTATTGTTTAGGATAGAGATTTTCACAGATGACGTATGAGATGATTTTGGGGGTGTGTTGAGAAAATGTAATTCATATGTAAATTGCTATTTTGTGTTCTATAATATGTTGGCTCCACAGTACAAGCATATAATTTATAAACAAGCAAATGCTCCCATATTGGGAGGTGTTCAAAATTGCTTTACTGAGTGGGTGGGTAAACAATCAAAAATATTTGGAGACTGTGATTCTAGCTTTACGTTCTTCATAATGGGCTTTGTGTTTAAGGCAATTATGCTCTCTCTGTCTCATCTTCCTTTTTTTCATAACAAAAAGAACATGGCTTTGGAGTCAATTAGAAATGAATTCAGGGGCCAGCGCTGTGGTGCAGTGGGTTAACGCCCTGGCCTGAAGCACCGACATCGCATATGGGCACCAGTTCGAGACCCAGCTGCTCCACTTCCTGTCCAGCTCTCTGCTATGGCCCAGGAAAGCAGTAGAAGATAGCCCAAGTCCTTGGGCCCCTGCACCCACGTGGGAGACCCGGAAGAAGCTCCTGGCTCCTGGCTTCAGATTGGCGCAGCTCCGGCCATTGCGGCCATTTGGGGAGTAAACCATCGGATGGAAGACCTCTCTCTCTGCCTCTCCTCTCTCTGTGTAACTCTGACTTTCAAATAATAAATAAATCTTTAAAAAAAAAAGAAATGAATTCAAAGCCGAATCTGTCAATTACCAGCTATGTGACTGCACCTCTGATATTCTGCAGGATTAATGGGGAAAATATCTGTAAAATACTTGTATGGACATGTGTGTACACAAATAAAAGGCCTTACTTGAGGCCTAGTGAGGTTTCTTTCTCTTTCATGTCCTACTTCCGCTCACTCTGCAAACTCTTTGTGCACTTCATTTACTCGGAGTCTCACAGTCAGCTACGTGGAGGTCTGGAGGAAGAAGCTGGGGAACAAGTCATTAGTGGTAGAATCAGATGGCAGCCCAGGGCTGACCGCTCTGACGCGCAGCTTTGCCCACATTCATGTCTCTAGGACACAGAAGGGCTGGGAGCCTGGATGAACACAGTGGATAGAAACACAAATGCAAAGTCCCAGTCGGCCCTCCACGTCCATGGATTCCACATCCATAAATTCAACCAGCCATGGATCAAAACCACTCAGAAAACAAAAACTGCATCTATAATGAACATGCACAGAATATTTTTCTCATTGTTCCCTAAATCACACAGCATAATAACTTCTTACATTGCATTTACATGGCATTGGTTATTGTAAGTCATCTAGAACTACAGGAGGATGCACACAGGTTACATGCAAACACTATACCATTTTATATAAGGGATTGGACCCTGTGGGATTTTTAGTATCCATTGAGTCCTGGAACCAAGCCCCCACAGATACTGAGGGATGACTAGAGCATAATGTGAGAAGTGCTCTCAGAGAGGTATGGAGAAAATGCTGCAGGGGTATGGAGAACAAAGAGCTTTATTGTCTGCAGAAATCAGGGAGAGCTTCACAGAGGTGGTGGCACTGAAGTGGTCCACACATCTACCCCTAGAGACACCTAGGAGGGAATTCTAGGCAGCAAGGCAGTGGGCAGTAACATATTCAGATAGAGACTATCTGAGTCACTGCAAGGGTATGGTGTGATGGGAGCAAAGTAGGGAAGGGAACAGTGCTGGCAGGAGGTAGGCTGGGGCCCCATTCCAGAGGCAGTGGAGCCAGCAGGGGTTTTTATGCAAGGCAGGAACAGATCCCATCTGTGCGTAGAAGGCTAGTCCCAGTGCTAGCACAGGGCAGGGATTCCAGAACCTAAAGCCACTTGGGAGAAGCCTTCTTTGTTCCCTTTACTGACTTGGTTTGTCCATTATTGGGAATGCAAACTCTACATCTGGTCAGGCTGCCATGCCAGGTTATTCCACTGTGACTACCTCCTGTCCATCGTAAATAGTTTCTTGAGGTGAGGGACAACGTAGATAGCACGCTTCTCAACAAACCCTCACCACCAGTTACAGCATCCATTGATCTTTCTAACTCCATCGTCCCATCTCTATGGAACGACTGGCTTTCTACACAAGAGGAGCTCTCCCTTCTCCCCACTGAGTTACTTAGGCTTTGTGGGTGCATGGAGCCTTACTTGATTCAATGGGTTATAATTCATGCTGAAATGGCCCCAGATGTGACCACTGGCAGTCCATTCAAATTGGCTCTTGTATTATTTTAATATCTCCCTTGTTCTTTGAGCACTGCTGTACTTCCTAGCAAAGGTCCATTGTGCACTTTGCCTGCCCTGGGCCTGGGATTGGCATTTTCACCCAGAGTTCTGGTGTTTATGGAGAATGGTACTGGGAAACTCAATGCTGGGTGCTCAGTGTGTTCCTGGAGTAATGTGTCATTGCTTCTTGGGCCTCTCCATGGACAGAACAAGGAAACGTGTCTCTCTCTCTCCATCTATCTATTTATATATCTAGGTCTGTATTTCCAAGGGAAATTTTTATAAAAAATACATATTTTGGGGCTTCATATCCAAACTACTGAATCAAAATCCTTAGGCATGAGCTCATGAATCTGTATTTTCTGAAAGGTTAGTCAGGTTTCTGAGCAGAGGATGTACCAGAGAAGTGACAACAGAGGCGGGAAGACCTGTTAGGAGGCCACTGTAACCACCCAAAGAAATCTTGATGGAGGTGTGAACTAGGTAGAAGCACTAAGATATAAAGGACAAGGTCAAGTGTACTTGGGGCTGATGGGACAATGGAGATGAAACAAGGTAGGGAGTGACTAGGCACTCAACACTTCCTGCCTGGATAACTATCGTTGTTGAGGCCTGCACACTGTCATTTCCACACACAGCACTGAACACATGTTTATTTAACTGAAGTATCTTCTCACTTTTCTCCCACAGATGATATAAAAATGCAGGTGACATTCAGGAAAGAAAATAATTATAATACAGTGTAGAATTTGTATCTCTTCCATGATATTTTTATCATATGGACTAGAAATGAAGTTTCACTCCAGGCAAGACAGATGACTTGAAAATTCATTGTCAGCAGGTCAGGTTCTCACATAAACAAGGCCTACCCAAAGTGATGGTGTTTGTATTTACCACACACAAAAAAAATAGACTGGAAGGCTTTTTACCAAGAAGCAATGTCTGTAACAATATCTCCTATTGTACACACACACACACACACACACACACACAAAGCTAGAGTCTGCTGGAGATAAAAGTCATTAAGCTGAGATGACTGCCTACTACCACTGCAGCATGAAAACCACTGGAGCATGAGCAAAATGTATAAAGGAGCTGTAAGAAGAAAAGTAAAGCTAAAAGGAAATGACCCTTGGACATTCTAACTGCCATAACGGAAAGTTTAAAATCCAGATAAAAGTCCAATTCAGCAAAAAAGAATCTTCCTAGTGTTTACATGTAAAAGCAATTCATCAGTGATCTCCTCAGCGCTAACTCCCATGGCCCTCTCTCCAGACTCTTCCTTATTCTACTTTATTGACACTATGGAGAGTCTCCTCCTTGACACCCTCTTGGCTTTTGGTTTGCAGGACGTTCTACTTTCCTGGTTTATTTCATATCTCTGTAAGCATCCCCATTGTTTGCAAGGACCTCTTTATCTGCTTGTCTCTTTAAAAGCTAATCTTTTTCTTTTTTTTTCTTTTTTTCTTTTTTATTTATTTTTTTTTTTTTTTGACAGGCACAGTGGACAGTGAGAGAGAGAGACAGAGAGAAAGGTCTTCCTTTGCCGTTGGTTCACCCTCCAATGGCCGCTGCGGCCGGCGCACCGCGCTGATCCGATGGCAGGAGCCAGGAGCCAGGTGCTTTTCCTGGTCTCCCATGGGGTGCAGGGCCCAAGGACTTGGGCCATCCTCCACTGCACTCCCGGGCCACAGCAGAGAGCTGGCCTGGAAGAGGGGCAACCGGGACAGAATCCGGCGCCCCGACCGGGACTAGAACCCGGTGTGTCGGCGCCGCTAGGCGGAGGATTAGCCTAGTGAGCCGCGGCGCCGGCCAAAAGCTAATCTTTTTCTGAGCCAGCGCTGTGGCGTAGCAGGCTAAGCCTACAGTTCGAGTCCCAGCTGCTCCATTTCTGATCCAGCTCCCTGCTAATGGCCTGGGAAATCAGTGGAAGATAGCCCAAGTGCTCAGGCCCCTGCACCCGCGTGGGAGACCCGGAAGAAGCTCCTGGCTCCTGGCTTCGGATAGGCCCAACTCTGGCCACTACAGCCATCTGGGGAGTGAAACAGTGGATGGAAGATCTGTGAAACAGTGGATGGAAGATCTTTGTCTCTGTCTCTCCCTCTATCTGTAACTCTACCTCTCAAATAAATAAATAAATAAATCTTTTTTTAAAAAAAGTTGATCTTCCTTAATTCCTGACCCTGGCCTCTCCTCCCCTCCCCTCCCTTTGCTGTCTGGGTTATCTCACCCACTCCTACATACATACTGCAACTCCCACGCTCTCTCCTGAACAAGACACTCATACAAATGCATAGCCACTTCCTGGATGTCTCACAAACACCTCCATCTAAATATGCCAAAAGCTAAACACATCTCCCATTGATCTTGAACAACCTGCCCTCGTTCTATTTCAGTGAATGATAACCACCACCCAACCAGGTGACTATGTCAGAAACTTGATCATTACCCTACATCTCCCTTCTTGCTGTCCCCATCCTCCTTTGCCACTTATATCCAGTCACCAGGGACCCACAATCTCCAGAATATTATATTCATTGTCTTCCTGTGTACTACCATAATTGTCTCCCACCTGGATTAATTTAAATGCCTCCAGACTTTGTCTGATGTAATATCCACCATGCAGAGGGCCAAGTTCAGAGCCTACATCTAATAATGTTCCTCATTCTGGAAAGCCTTCTCTGACCACTACTCCCCTCCAGTGAATGGTTCAGGTTATATATATCCTGAGGTGCCCATTTACCTTGGGCTAACTCCCATACACTGAGCACACTGTATCTAGCTGCTTGTGTTTGTTGAGTCTTGACTACACGATTAGACACTCCTTGTGAACAGATTCACATTGTCCATTGTTGGGTTCCCAATGCCTCACATGGTATATGGTATATAGTAAACAATCAAGAAATTTCTGTGGTTAGTCAGGTTTGTTTTTCTAAGCCAGGAGTTCTTGACCTAGGGGTCCTAGTACCCCTTCATAGAATTCAGGAAGGTTTATTAGCTTAGGTGGACTAAAAATTACACCTTTCTTTTCACTGACTTGTAACAGACTTCAATATTTCCTGTCTCCCAGAAGGTAGGTAAAATAAAAAAGCTATAGTAAAATCAGAGGTATTTTCATATCACATTAAAGTTGTGGAGATGCCTCAAACATCGGGTATAATCATCTCCAGTTTGAAATCACAGCATTTCTTAGACTTGACAGACTTTTTAATTGTGTTTGTTAATAAAGAAGCACATTCAATACATTACTATATAATAAAATATTTTAAAATTGTATTTCAAAAGGATTATTTTTCTGTGTAACCCTATTTATTTTACTTCATACATTACAAAACATTATTATGTGATGGTAGGAACATAAATTGATATAACCACCGTGGAAAACTACATGACACTTACCTAGCAAAGTAGATTATATGTGAAGCCCATGATCCAGAAATACCACTTCTGAGTGAAATTGTACATATATATACATACATATGTATGTTCATTTTACTAGAATGAAACTGAAAACCATGCTGATCAACAGTAGAATTGACAAATAAATGATGGTATTTCTACACAATGAAAATACAGAATTTAGAACAAACACGTGGAAATCCAGATAAAGTTCATTAAGATGTTAATAATTAAAAAGAGCCACATACAGGGTAGGCATTTGGCCTGGGGTTAAGATACCACTTGAGATCCTTGCATCCTATATCAGAGTCTGTGTCTCAGTCTTGGCTGCACTCTTGCTTTTAGCTTCCTTTCTAATGTGTACCTTGGGAGGCAGCAGGTGATGGATCAAGT